AAAAGAAACCAAAGCACTGCCCTATTCATTTATGTAGGAAGCCATCTACTGTCTAGTTCTACCTTACTTACGCAGCCCAAAAGAGAACCAACCAAGATGACACGCCCATGTGTACCTGCGCCTCGGCTCCACTCCTCAGCTCTTCTAGAAAATCACATACATGCTTGTTCTCAACTGGGTAACACCAGCACTCATATTTAGATGTGAACAAAAGACTGAGGCGCTGTTTCCCTGCTGTGGCTTTCTGTGCGAGCAGGGCGGCAGGAGCCTGAACAACCTCTCTCTCCCACCACTGCTGTCATCGAGGAGTGGGGAGATGGCTGCAGCCTACAGGGACACCATCGGATTGCTCCGAGCGTTATGAGGAAATGGCGTGGTGTAACTGCTCAGAAAACTGCTCCTGCTCACAACTGTGACTAAGACATCCAAACAGACCTTTAAAATCCCAGAGTATCTAAGTTTCCTCATGCTGTCACGGATGGCATCTGTCACACACATCCACACCCAGTTGTGACAATAACAGGTATCCAACACTTGGTGGTCCTCTGGGCTGAAGCTTTACTAAATCTACACAAGGCTATTTCTTGGCTTTTGTTCTACCCCATCTGACCCTGGAATGCTTCTCTGTGCTTGGTATGCAGGACTGACAACACCCCAACCTTCCCTCCCTATTTGGCCAAGTTATAAATAAACCAGTTTTCCATTTTTGTGGGGTTTTCTTATTTTCTTATGTTCTTGGCTGCAGTGAAGCAAATGATCCCAGAGGTCCAGAGAACACAGGGCCTGGGCTGGCCTGACTAGGGCTGGCTCACAGCAGCACCTTGGCATGACCAGTCTTTTCTCTGTCTTCTTCACCATCTTCGTAACCCAACCAACAGCTTATATCAACACCCAATTTTCATCACTCTGCCCTTGTATTTTTCCTCATCCCCAACTTTTTAGCCTCTTATTCCCTGGAACAGCCCAAAGCTAAAAAAAAAATACCAGGAGGACCTAAATCTCTCAGGGGAGATGGGACCATTCTACCAGCTTAGCTCACTGATTTTCCCCAAAATCACTTCCTCTTGTTCCTGTGAAACCTTAACAATCCCCTAGTGTCATCACTTTACATAACTGAAAGTCAAAAATGTCTGCGATCACTGTTCATACCTTGAACTCTACAGAACAGAATACATGAGATTAGAAGTTGCTGTTTTATGCATTTTTCTGCTCTGTTGTAAAGACTCAGTGCAAATCCATTGTGTTTTTATCTTTGGAAATACGCTGTCCCTCCCTCTTTCACCTTAGTCACTGATAGTAAACACAAGAACATATTTACATGTGGTCCAAACTTCACCAGGGAAATGTCATTCCTGGGGGTTATCTGCCAGGTGTTCTTCATAAGGAAGCCAATCGCACTGCTGTATCTATCTGGAGTTGGCACATATTTTTTGAAAGTACTCCTGGTGAGATGAATAGGTCCATCATAAATCTGAAAGCCTCTAATTGGGAATGTCCTGTTAAAAATATAAGATTTTATTTAATGTACATGGGCCTAGCTCTGTAACAGCACTCATTTGTTTTATAAATATTGCTACATGTCTTATAAGCACTCAGCAAAATTCCAGGCTACTGTGATAACCAAGACAAGATCCCTGATGAAATAAAATACATACTAGAGCGGGAAAGGCACCCATACACTAAGCCAAAGGATAACTTCAGACCATTAGTGTTATGGAGGGATAAGGCACAGCAATACAGTAAGTAGGCTGAGAAGAAGACCCTATTAGAATAGATAGCTTCCTCACACTGACCTGTGAGCCAGATTTCACCAGGAAAATGCTATTCCAGTTAAGTTCCTATACTTGGCCCTGGGGATGTGGCTCAGCGGTAGGGTTCTTGCATGCACAAGCCCTGGTGGGTTCAACACCCAGCACCATGACAGAAAAAACCACAGCCCCACAGCGATGAGCACAGCTCACGCCGCCAGCCAACAGTGTTTGCCACATCACTCTGTCATGTCTCAGATGGCATTCAGGAGGTAATTTTTTTTTTTTTTCAGTATAAGACATCAAACCCAGGGCCTTCACAGTGAGCTACGTTCCCAGCCAGCCCTTTTTTATGTTTTATGTCAGAGTTTCATTACACTGCTAACTTGCCCACGATAAACTCGAAATGAGGGTCCTCCTGCCTTAGCCTCCCTCAGTGCTGGCATTAGGATCACAGGTGTGTAGGCCGTAAGGAGCCGAATTAGGATGTTTGTGGCACTGGCTCAAAGGTGAGGCCTTTAAGCAAGATTTTGTTTTTCTCTACCTGGTTTTTCCCTAAGTAAAATGAAGTCAACGCCAGCTGAGTCTCAGAGCTGAGGTATGGAGTAATCAGTTAAAAGTTCCTTAAAAGCTTTGAAAAATCTTTCCAGTGCTAAGTACTATTTTAATGACGGTGATCATGACATCCAAAAACATGCCAGAAGCCTGCCCCCACTTCCTCCAGCGTCTCAAGCACTGCTCATTACACAGCTGCAGTGAGCTTAGAGTCAGCGTTGGCATCCATCAACACTCATTTTCTAGGACTCTTTTCAGTAGGTAATTTCCTTTTTCCAGGGCCTATTTCTAAAAACCAACATCACAAGTTAGGGAACACTGACCTAATGTCAGTTTATGGTTTGGCACCTTATTTATGTCTCTGGAAAGGAAAACAAGCAGGAAAAAGTCACCAGCTTATGTAAGTCCTTATGTAAGAAACAAGACTGGCCCCTTCATTATACACATGAGAACAGAATCTGTGAGACAGTCAGCAATTGCACAAAATTTGATGAGCATGATATATACACAATAAAGGTAGTAGGGATAACTGGGAAGAGAGTCGCAGTAGAACCCAACAAATCAAAGTTTATTACAGAAACCCTCTTCACTGGGGCTAGGGCTCAATGTCCAACACTGAATCAATTCTCACCTGTTCCTAGGTAACGTGCGAGGCTTCTGGTCGATTCCGCCAACGCCCATATACTTGTTCTGCCCACCATGGAAGCCATAATTCCTGCTCTCCCCAACAAAGAGGGATTCAGACACTTCCTGGCTAGACCCTTCATCACTGGGGAAGCTTCCGTCGCTGTTAAAATCAAGACAAACGTCAGCCTCCTTTCCACAGTGAATTTAAGTTTATCCCCAAATGAAGGCAACCTGTAATTAAAAGCTAACAATTTCCCAAAAATTCCATAGCTTCTTCTAAAAACACATTGTCAAATTCTTAGAAACTTCTTATGAGATGGAGGCACTGGGGATCAAACCATCCTTGTGTTAGGCCCACACTCAGAAAACTGCTTTAATGAAAATAGATAACATAACAATCACTGTTGGTCAGATATTCTTGTTTTGAAAATCTGTAACGTGTATTGTAGGTTACCCTGTTTCTATCTCTGCTTTTGTTTTTCTTGCTCTTGTTTTTACTCTTCAAAATAAAATTATATTAAAAAAAAGAAATAAAAATTTTAAAAAAAGAAACTGCATTAAACTGTAAAATATCCCATAGGAAATATGGTTTACAAATTATATACAAATAAGTGAAATTTAACATAACAGCACTAACATTCTTAACCAAGAACACTGCAAAGGAGAATGAACAGAACTGACCAGAACACACAATTAAGTGACAAGCACATTCAGCATGGCCACTGGAAGGACTAAGATCCAAAGAAAAATATGCAACAACAAAAGTATAGTTCTTAAAGTTACTGATAAGTTAAAGCACAGTCCAAAAAAATACTGATTTTTTAATTTCCTTGCGCTTTCTCTTTCTCTTTCTTCCTCTACTTTGAAGACCTTTAGTCTAAATCTCAATTTTTTTTTTCTAAGCAAAAATTATAATTGCCTTTCCTTTCTGGAATTCCAGCTTCTATTCCATGTCGATTTGATTATTCAATGAAAATGTATTTCTGGCTTTCTAGTGGTATCAAAAAGAGGGTGTTACCTTTTTTAATGCTAATAAATTATGAAATATTCTTGCATTATTCCCCCTTGAAAGAAACCAAAGTTAATTTTATTTGATATCTTTAAAATAATGAAATATGTATTTTTTAAGCCTGGGAATAGTTCAGCGGCATAAGTACCTTCCTGGCAAGCACAAGGTCCTGAGTTCAATCCCCGGTATCAAAAAAAAAAAAAAAAATTTAGTCATTACATACCTGGCAAAGGTCAGTCCTATTCCATTATCTGCAAATCTGTAAGAGGATAAAAGATTATTTTAATTTACCACTTCACATAAAAGGTAATTCTCAATATTTAGTACATATTTTATAATGTACAAAGTCCCAATGTTTACCTCTCCAACTCATAAAGCTTAATTTCCAATTACTAATGTCCAAAGCTCAAACTGCAAGAAGGGCATCCTGTTCAAATCCTGGTCTTGCCAATTATTAGCTGTACGACCTTGGGTAAGTAAATCAAACTTTGTTTCCTCCACTTTTCTCATTTCTAAGTTGAAATAATAATATAACGTTCTTTATAAAAGTCTTAAGAACATTACACACATTAAATAATTTTAAGTATCTAGAACAACATATATAAGTATTAGTTAAAACTTTCCATAATTAGTTTTTAGAAAACAATTAGATGACACTGAAGTTACTTCTACATATTCAAAACAGTAACAATTTTTAGGATGATAAAAGTCAGATGGGCCGGTGAGATAGCTCAGTGGACTAAAGTGCCTGCTTAGGCAGAGCACAGTAACTGGGGTTCAATCCTGTTATCCCAGTGCTTGGGAGGATGAAACAGGAGAATCACAAGTCCGATCTACCTAGTAAGACTCTGTACACCCTGTAGACTCCGTCCTAAATTCATAAAAAATAAAAAGCTTAGGTAGGCGCAGGGACCTTGGTTCAATCCCTAGCACCACATGCCATGCCAGCTCTACCCCCAGGGCAGGCTGAGTCATCCACAAAAAAGAAAAAAAAAAAAGATCTGTTAAAAAAAAAAAAGGTCAAAGATGATGGCAAACTGCCAAGAAGCTGGCTGGGCATGGTAGCGCATGCCTGTAATCCCGGCACTCAGGAGGCTGAGGCAGGAGGATGGTCATGAGTTTGAGGCCAACCTCCACTAAAAGAGTTCAAGGCCAACTTGAATTACACAGCGAGACCCTGTCTCAAAGAAAGAAAGAAAACGTCAAGAAGCTAATGGTCAGTGCCAGAAAAAAAAAAAAAAAAAAAAAAATCTTTTTTCTAGATTATTAAATACCTATCTCAGCTCAACATGCACCCGTCCTCTCTTAAAAACACACAAATGGAAAAACAGGGAGATGCTTCCTGCCTTAGTTCATGGCAAGATATCAAAGTCAACGGATTTATTAACGTGGACTTACACTACTTTTGTTTTGAATGGCAAAGGAAGAAAATCAGAAAAACTTTAAGGAATATCCAAGAGGAAAAAAAAAATCCAGGTAGTTTCAAAATCATTATTCAGTGTTTTGACATAAATCACGCTTGTTATAAAAAGTTAAATTCCAGGTTTCTGTTCAATCTCATCCAAAGCTCTCATGTCACTAGACAAGTTTAGTTCCAAGAAAAGCACCAGAATGAGACGATTCCAAACATTTGCAGGCGCTTAACTCTAGCAAGCTTCCTCCCTCAGAGCCTGTCCTACCTGCTGCTACCAGCACTAATAATACGATTCCAGGAAACCCCACTGTACTTTACTACTGGTCTTACAAAAACCTTTAAGAATAAATACATCACTGTTATCAGACAATGATGTCTTAACAAATACCTACGCTGAGTTCTGAACAATAATGTCTCCCCCTCTGATCCACGCCCCGTGGTCATTATTTTTAAAAGCAATGAGCCTGTCGATTACAGCAGCAACACGGGGCTTTTCAGGGTCAGCATCCTGATGAGGCCGAAATCTAAGGTTTAAGGAAAAAAAAAAAGGAATAGAAATTAGTTACTTATAGTTATGTGCTTAGGATCAAAAAGGAGGATTTAAATTTGATCAAAATAAATGGAAAAGGACCCTTTTTTCTCTTTGGCACTGGGAATCGAACTCAGGATCTCATGTCTGCCAGGCAGACACTGTGCCACGGAGCTATATCCCCGACCCTGAAAAAGATCTTTACAATTTAATTATTATATGTCAAAGGAAAATTACATTTATTTACATGTCTATCCAGAGAACTTCTTTCATGGCTTCTTAGTTTTTTAAATCTAAAGTGACAGTCTGGGGAGATAGCTTGGCACTCTAAGCACCTGCCTGGCTCAGGCCAAGCTAGCCACCGAAACTGAGTATGGTGGCACACGCCTGTAATCCTAGTGCTGGGGAGGTTGAAACAGAAGGAGCACTATGAGTCTGAGCTGCTTGTATCAAATAAATAGAGAAATAAAAGATTATAAAATAAAATCTAAAGTGACATTATAAAATATTATAAACACTAAAATCATTTCCATTAAAACACAAACCCCTACACCAGGAAGCCTACATGTCTGCAAATCCTTAAATAACATGCTACTTATACAAACTTATTGTATAAGTTAGCCACGTATTTTAATATACATATAAGTGAATTGTAGCATTATTTGAATTGTGTGCTACTTAGTTTCAGCTATTGATAAAAAGTTCAATTGCTTGAATGTTTAAAATTCTATCTACTTTGTTGAACGGACTTTATGAGTAAACTGAATTTGGCCTTTTCATTCTCCTTGCTCTAAAACATATATAAGATACTTAAGGTAAAAGTCAAAAACCTGGTGGAGGAACTGTTCACTGTAACAATTCAAATGCTCTCACAAAGCTGTTACCTTACAAAGCTAGACAGCTTTTCAGAACTGAATTTAGCTTGTTTAACTCTTTCAGCCGGGCAGCCAGACGGCCCCTTGCGCAGCGCTACCTCGCTTGCTGGCACAGTGCGGGCCGTGTGTGCCCTGACGTGTGAGTGAGCTGGACGCTCCACTCTAAAGAAACTGGCCCCGAGTAGGGCCAGCCAGATAGCTCAGCAGACTAAAGCGGCTGTGCATGCCGGGCCAGCCCTGCCCCTGGGGCCTGCTGAGACAGCAACTGGGACTGGGCGTGGTGGCGCCTGGAATCCCAGTGCTTGGGAGGCTGAAAACAGGAGAATCACTAGGAGTCTGATCTATGTAGTAAGACCCTGCAGACCCTGTACTAAATACAAAAAAAAAAAAAAGATAGAAAAATAAAGAAATTAGCAGGGTGAGAAGCAAGGGAGAGAGCAAAGAGGCCAGTGAGTGCCCGGCAAGTATGTAATTCTTCATCTGAAATGCAAGGGGAGTTAACAAAGCACGGACACAGGGAGGCGCTGTCACATGCTTCTATCATTTTCTCAGCACATCACCAGGTACTCTTCGGAGAACAGACTGTAGGACCATCCTGGGGGCTCTCCGTGCTGGCGGTATAAACAGGGTTGTAGCAGCGGGGAGAGAGTCTTACATCCATCCTTATGTCATGTGACCCAGGGCACACCCTAGCTAGCTCTGACCAAAGAAGGGCAAAATCTAAGCTGATACCTACTTATGTTATCAAGCAGATAGAAGAGCTCTGGAAAGGAAGGTGTGCATGTTCTAAAAGGCAAAAAAGATAAGGAAAAGGAGGAAGAGAAAAAGGAAGAGGGAGAGGAAGAAAGGAGATGGGACAGGAAGAAATGAAGAAGGGAAGGGCAGAAGGGGCAGCAGGGGGAGGGAGGAAGAGAAGGAACCTTAAGGCAGTCTGACTGGTACAGCTGCTTGCCTCTCTGAAGTTCCTACCCATATAATTCAATCATTAGTTAATTGCCCAGCTGCCCCTTACCTTCACCTACTTCCACACTTGTATACAGAAAATAATTAACTGTGCCAGTTTCTCATCATCCTCTGTGTGACTTCAGCCCATTTCCTGACCCTCCTTTAGTCATCCTCTGCCCTAAATAAAACCAGTCAGTTCTGATAATCTTTCACTTTTTGAGACAAAATTTACCAATTTCAAGTGAAATTCTTTCTGGAGTTAAAATTTCCCAACTTAAGATCCTTTAGATTCCTGTAATTTCACATCCTGAAAACAGAAGGAAAACTTTGTCTGATTAACTGGTGAGTCAGCTTCCTCTCTGATGAACACACTGAGTGTTGTCTGGCTTCCATGAGCCTGGTGTTTAATTCACGGGCTGGGGTATTGCCTCTCTGCAGCTCAGGTCTACAGGTGAGTTTGCACTGTACCTCAGTTCATACAAAAACTCAGTGTACACAGCTGTCAAATGTCCTGTTGCTCTTTTCCTACAATCAGTCCTTTTCAAGAACAACTTCCAAATGGAGTACAATGCCTTAACAATATGTATGCATTTATAAGATGGTAATAGAGGGCCAGGGAGATAGCTCAGCAACATAAACACCTGCCTGGCAAGTGCAAGGTCCTGAGTTCAATCCCCAGTACAAAAAAAAAAAAGGTAAGAGAAATAATGGTTCCCCATTATTTCTGCCATTTCATAACAGCACATGTATACATCTGGTAAGGAACTTCTCATGCCATTATGAAGTGTTTCATTGTCAAGTCTAGTTAAAGTGTCACTGGATTCTTAAAACATACTTACTCACCTATTCATAGAAATGCACACAAGCACACATCATATAAATTATAATCATATAATTATTTAAGGCCAAAAAAAAAAAAGCCATATTTGTTCTGTCTGGGATTGTCCTGCCAAACTACACATTCTTAATTCTACAAACTATACAACTTTTTAAAAGTAAATAGTACAGAAGCAACTTTCTCACATAGATTTATTCTGTCAGCTACTAATTCTCTTCTTGGTTCCTTTTCTGTTCTTGTCTACTTTCACCTGTGTCTTACATTTATTTCTAGTTCTGTAACCCGTATGTTGATTAGCTACAAGGTACCCAGTACCTTGACTTTTACTGACATACTGCCCATAGTTTCTGGACTTTTTAAACACTACCTGATCATTGCTCTAAAATGTCTTATGTTCCACATGACCTTTGAGGAACCCCAATGAGTGACTCACCAACTTTTCCCCAGTTTTCTCCTGATCTCGCATCTCAGGAATGCACTGCAAGGATGCTGTCTCATACTCAAATCAGATTCATTAGTATGTTTTATCCCCTAATTAACAACTGGGCCTGGCATTCGCCTCTTACATAACTTTCAACACAGCCTATTATGTGTAGCACACATTCAGCGCCACAAACTGGTCTATCAACCTGAAGTATTTAAAAAAAAAAAAAAATGTACCCCACTTCTACTGAATATCACTTTAAGTTGCTTTTTTTTCCAGGTAATTTTATTTCCATCTGAGACATTTTGTTTACTCTGGCTCACATACAACATGTAAGAGAACTCGACTGAAGAACTGATCCATTTCCCACGTGTAAGCTGTGGTTATACAGGAGTCAACGAAGAGCCTGGCTGGAACCTGAAGCAGAGGCTACGAATGACTGAAGCAGAACCAGCTTGATCATCAAACTGAGGACCTTTTCTCTGAAACAGAGTCAACACAATGTTCCGTCTTTGACCCACTAAGCATAAATCTATATGCTTTGGCTTTCAAGGATTAGCCTACCTCAACTTAGTTTAACATGTTTTTTCAATGAGTCATACTCTCCTCCAAATCTGAAGTATTATTTTCAACATCTTTCTCTCTTTTTCTTTCTCTTTCTGTGACTCCCTCTAACAGCTTGGAGAAGGCAGAGAAGGCCAACTTCTTTGGCATTTGAATAAGAGGAACACCCACGATCAGGACCAGGAACAGCAGGGTATTTTTCTAAAACCCTTGTGCAAATGTTTAAAACACCACTCTAGATTTGTTACTAAGGCAAAGGACACAGTGTGCTTGACTGGAAAGTTCCACCATGGCAAGATAAGGCTTGAGACTTCACCGGGCCTACCTCGCACTGTTGTCCAAGCACAGGTATTCCCTCGGGTCAGCAGCACTGGAGTTGGTGGTTTTGACACCTTTGTCAATAAATAAGCCAGCCTGAAATACATACAAAAGGGTCAAGAGTAAATTTCAAATCACCACTTCTACTCCAAACTGTGAGAGGAAGGGCTTCATATAGTAAACCAAAGGTGCGGTGATGAGAAAAGGAGCTACTTTCCTGGATGTTTTTATTTTATTCATTCTGCCATTCAGCAAATAACTTAATGCCTGCTTGAAGCTTTATATTATATGTGGGTTAATAAGTAGAATACATTCAGGTTTTTACTGATACGAACACCCTCAGGAAGCCATCAGTTAAGTAACTGCAGTCCCATGTGATGAGCAAATACTAAAGAGACATCAGAGAACTTCCTCCTGGGTGAACGGGACTCACTCAGGAAAACCTCCGGCAGAAAATGGTCTCCATAAACAGGGCTGAAACCTCCAAAGGCTGGGAGGAATTAACCAAGCAAAAGAAAGGGTTGGGTGGGTCAAAAGCATCTGAAGACCCCAGAGGAACACACTCAATCTACAGTATGGGTCCCGCTTCATTCTCTTCATAACCACTGGGCCTGGCACTCTGCTCCTAAGTGACTTTCAACACAGCCTGTTACACGCAGCACCCACTCAGCCCCAGAAACTGGTTTATCAACCTGCAGTACCAAAAAAATACACCCAGTTTCTACTTAATAACACTTGAAGTTGCCATCTTTTCCAGATGATTTTATTTCTGAGACATCTTATTTATGTAAAGCACATAAAGAACTCTACTGCGATGCTGACAAAGTCTGGAGATACGAGTGTGGCCTAGCTGAGAAAGAATCCTGGGCGCACTGATGAAACGCACGAAGGCCAGAAAGGCGAAGGAGGCTAGAGGAGAAAGCACGAGATCACAAAGGGCTCTTACAGGGCCAGAGTTAAAAGAATGGGAATTGAATAAAGATGTCACAACCAGCTACATTTTCAGGAGGAAATAAAACGATAGCTAACAGATATATAATGAATTGAAAGAGGGCAGAAAAAGCAAGGAATGAAATAGGAGATAATTCTGGCCATTCAAAAGACAACTGAGATGACCTAGGGCTGTGGCCATAGCAACAGAGAAAGCTACACAGAGCAAGAACTTTTCATTGGGTAGAATTCTTACTATTTGTGATTAGGGATGAAGGATGGGGAGCAAAAGTGCACAGGCTTCTTCTCTAACGTGGGGAACGAGAGAACTAGTGGTTTCATTTGCTGAACAGACACGCAGGAATGAGCCAGGCCTAAAAGGAAGGTCTTTAGTTTTAGATGGAGATAGATAGATATATAAAATGCATCCCTTGAGACACTGAAATGGAACTCAGTAGGCAATCAAATAAATGTAACCAACAGGGACTAGAGGGAGATTCAGGAGCCATTAATAAATGAAGCTACGGAGAGCAAGCAAGAGTGAGAGAAAGACCAACAGAGAGACAAAGAGACAGACCGACAGACAGACAGGGAGTTTGTGAGTGACCTCAAGAGGGCAGGTTTCTTTCTCTGAGGTCTCCAAAGGTTGTTTCCTTTAACTATTGTTTTATCCTGTAGTTATTTCCAAATGTAACAAATTAAAAGCTAACTATCCAGTTACGTTACTTAGATTCTCACAATTAACAGGAGATTTCCTATCAGTGTGGTATTAAACACTAAGAAATTAATTAGGATGAGGTGCTCAAGTCATTTATAATTTTTAACTGAGGATTTTCTCTTTGAACTGCTACTTTTAATGATTATTAGTCTTAATCAACTATCTACTCCTAAAAATCACAGCAAAGCTCGTTCCTCTCTCAGGTCTTCATCAAATGATTCTACGCTCTACAAATTACAACATACTTAAGTTTTGAAAAGTTCTCTGAGAGGCATACAGGGACAGTGTTACCTACACTTACCCTCGAAGTACATTATCTAATGTGTACATCCACGGAATCACGGCATCAGAGATTGCAAAGAAAGGGTCGGGGTGGGTAGGGACGAGGAAGCAGAGGCAGCCACCACTTAGTCAGATAGCACATGCACTTGGATGGGGGCTAACATGTATGTACATCCTGAGTAGGGAAGGCTTGCTGCCCTTTCTTTTCTTCATTTTCTCTTTTAATCATAAATGATCTGGTGATAAGTTCTACAAAAATTGTTATTTCTTGGCTATAAGTGGCACTGTTTGAAAATACTGCCCCCCCCAAAAAAAAAAAAATAACCCCAAACTGCACGTGCTGGAAATCTGATCCCCAAAGCAACAGTGTCAGAAGCTGAAGCCCAACCAGAGGGGTATAGACCGTGAGGGCACCTCCCTGGAAAACTGGTCACCATGGATCCCTGCAGGGCTGGGCGCGACCGCCCCCTCCTCCTCTCTCGCCCCCTTCCCTGTGCTCTTGCAGTGTGGATCAGTACAGCAAAGGGGCCTTCACGAAATGCTGGGCGCCCCATCTTGGGCTTCTCGGCGCCACACTCCCAAGCCAAACACATTATTTCTCTTATTATGAATTACCCAGTCTAGAATGGTTTTTGAGGCAGCACAGAGGGGTCTGAGAGACAGTCACAACAGTCCAGCCTTTGAATCCCGTCAGATGTGCTGAGGGTTACAATTCAGAAACCTACCTTAAAATTCGAATGGACCCTGTTGTTATAAAATATTCCCAGTGGAGTAAGTTCTGGTTTTGCTAAGAGCTGTAATCCACTGGACTCCCCGGTAGGCTCTTTGTGGAATAAATACCATATTCCAGCGTCCTATAATGAAAACACAAGATTATTAAAACACAACATTAGTTTATAAGGCCACTCTGGGAAACATCCTGAAAATAGCTACATGGCAGGCAAACTTAATCTTCCTAAAGCAAATTTTTCACTGTTTTATGTTCAGAGTTGACCATAAGAAGTTGCACACATCTAGCGTCCTTGAAGCAGTTATGTCATGTGTATTTTTAAAAAGCAAATTTAATATTGCTTGTAGGACTAGGAGGAAAAGTGATGTTCTGAGAGCAAAATTTACTTTCAAAACAACTTTCCCATCCTTGTCTACTTTAAGACGTTATGCAGAATAAGAATCAGAGAAGCGGGGGGCACACAGCCTTTAAGCCCTGTGGCTTTGTTCTCTTCCAACCCTGATCAGTAGGTGAGTCATACCTATGAAACAACTGCCCACCCACAGGAAGAGTTCACTGCCTTCTTTCAATGCCCTTCCTGTCCTGAGGCAAATTTTTACCAAAGAGAAAGAAAAAGGAAAAAACCACCACTATAGGCATGAGTCAGTACTCTGTCCCAATGACCCTGTCTGCTCAATTTCAGCATTACAACCCGAGAGGAACAGAACAGTTTAAGGTGTTGTTGGCACTCTAAAAGAAACATGAAAACAGAAATAAATGTTAATTTCTGTGACAACTTATTTTTCAAATGAATTTCTGTGACAATTTATTCTTCAAATAAAAGAATTCAAATGAATTCTTTATCTTGTGAATTCCATTTTAATTCACAAGATAAAGAATAACGTCAACGTAAAGGATTAGGGAAGTTCGATTACACAGGTTGCTAGAACCTAACCACACACGGTGAAAGGACACTCAATTCGAGGTCGGCACACATTTATGGAGTGCCTACTCCCTGCTGAGTGTGCAGTGAAATCATTCTCAAACAATTCATCCTCAGTGTTAATGACACACATGACCAAATGCCTGTGATAGGTAACCTTGTCTTCGGAGGTCAGCAAAGGAATGTACTGTGGAGAGCACTGTACCTACCTGCCCAAAGAAATGGAATACTTTACATGTTTTCATGACAAAAGTTTACACAAGAATCTTAATAAAACAAACTAATCTAAAAGAAATGTTTACGGTTTGAGCGCAAAACAACACAAGACGACTCCGAGAGCTGCTGAAAAGGCCCCAGGCCCCAGCCCTGCGAGCTGAGGCGGCACACAGCTGCCCTGAGTTGGGAGCATTTAGCAGCTCTTTCCTGATAAGCACAGAGATGCCAACACAGGTGAAGTGGCTCTGGGAAAGCCAATGAAGAAACCATCTGATTTACCTTGGCAGGCCAGCCCTGCCAAACCCCAGCTCTCCCGGAGCAGCTGCTTTAAAGAAGAAGGCATTCAGAGAAGGGAAACAGAAAATTCATGAGCTGCTTCACGCTCCTCACCTGAGCCCCAGGAAGGGCACCTGGCCACCTCAGCTTACACTAGCACACACTATCCGTGCTGTGCCTTCCTCTTCAAACCCCGACTTCAGAAAAGAGCTGAGAGAAGCTGTGCTCTGGCTGCGAACTCACGGTGTGACAAGACCAGAAGACAGCAGGGGCCAGGCACGTGGCCGTGTCTCACCCACCACCTCCTGCTCAGAAATGCCCCGTGAAACCCACCCTAGCTCAACTGACACTTGACGGAAAATGATTGAATGAAAAACTGAAAAGATCCAACGTCCAGGTCTCTGTCCTGGGAACTACAACCGTCAGGCTATGTTTTACGTTTTTAAAGCAATTTACAGATGTGAGCCCAACCGTGGCCCAGCAGCGCCTATGTCCTCGCTATCTCAAAGAAACAAACCCTCCCTTCAACTAATCTTCCGCTCAGTTCTACAAAAGGATGCCAGATGCTTCCTTCCATCTGACCATTTTAAATACTGCTAAGATACAGACATGAACATCTAAGTATCACAGCAATTCATATTGCTGTCCTGTAGTTTTCACTCCATTTATAGTCTTAGTAGTATACTGTCTTAAAGGGCTTATTTATATACTAATTAGGAGTTCTAAATTATACTCAATTATAAATGTAAGTTTCTTCAGATTTACCCAGAGTATATTCACTTAAAAATATTGCATTTTCTTAAAAATTATTCTTGCACATGTGTGCATGCATGGCATACATGTATGCATGGGACACGTGCATGCACATGTACATGTGAGCATATGTGGCTTAAACAACTCAACACACACAGTTCATTCATGGCAGAGCTGAGTTTTTTAGCTTCTTTATCAAGATGAAATTCCTAAACAGAACCCCAACATTTAATAAAAAGATGTGCCCCTGGAGCAGAGTGACTGTTATTCCAGCAGTCTACGGACTAGTCCACTTCCTAAGGACAAAGCAAAGGCTTCCTCTGTTCTTCAGCACCAGAAGCTAAGCTGATCAGCTACTTAGCCACGCAGGGTATATACGAAAAGCCAGGAAGAGCACACAAACTACAGTGAAAATACACTCTGGAGATGATGTAGCCCTCGCGGTCAGCTCACCTTTTTCTTCCACTTGTCATTTGTCTTAATGGGCTCCTAGATACTAAATGGTATCTTCAAAGAAACAGAAGAACCACCCAGCCATCTCCCACTCGCAAATACACAAGCACTACTAACAACAGTGCCACGCTTGGGTTGCATTGGTACAGATAACGTAGCGACCAGAGCACTTATAAACATGAACACAAAAGAAAAAAATAAAATCAGAAAATAGTTCCATATTATTTACCTGAGAGCCCGCAGCTGCATTATTAATCAGATTGTTATTGGGATGAGCAATCCAGAAAGTTGAAACCGCCCTGCAAGGCATTTTCAAAGGGGATTTAAACATTCGTCATAAAATCCTGCCCCCCTAAAAATCTTCCCCTACAACATCCTCCCCAAAGTCAAAGGCTTAGACCTCACGCGTCCTCACTCAGGCAATTACTCACATACAGTCAGTGGCAGGCACGGGGACGTAACTTCCAAACACCTTGTCTCGTATGGCGGTACACACGGAGTTGTTCCTGTCGGTGGGCAGAAGAGTGCCTGGCTTGGTGAGCAGCCCGAGGTTGTGGAACAATGTATTCCTCTGTTCAACACCATCTTCCAAAAAGAAACAATGACCCAGTGTGTCAAATCCAATTGTTTCTTTTATCTGCAGAAACACAAGGGTAGTGTCACTGGTAACAAGATTGACTGAGAGTTAAGTGACAAGTGCTACTCAGTTTAGTACACTCAGTACAAGTACAAAAAGAAGTTTTTAATCTTAGCAGAATGGACAAAATCAAATGTCGGAATTCTTTGCTGTCTTAGAAGAATATTTTGAATGGTAAAAACTCATCAGCTTCCTTCAGACAGAAAAGTAGCAGTTTTCTCAGGAAGAGCAGGTCACGGCGGGCGACGCATGTGAGAACACAGTTTACTTACAAAAAATCCTGAGAAATCATGAGCACTAAGCAGAGCTGACATTTCCACCATCAGTGACACCTGCTGTGGGACCCGGGGCCACTTACTAGCAAGCCATCGGTGCCATGCACCGTGATGCACCTGGAGAAGCTGTGATGAATGGACAGGCCGTCCACAACGGTTGGGTGTCTGTAGCCCCCTCGAGAGTCCACGTCTCCACACAGGTGGAAATGCACAGGGTACCGCCCCAGGTGCTGCTGACCCATGTGTTTCAACTCCACATAAGAAAGATGGACTGAAGTAAAATTTTTCATTATCTGTCAGACAAGGAAACCAAAATTGGAACAGGAACATAGTAAACAAACAAACAGAAGTGTTTTCACAGAAAACATCTTAGGTCCATATGTATCAAAACTTTTCTTTGGTGTCCTATTTTTCGCAAGTCTTCCATTAATAATTTGGCAAATGCCTTTTGACATAGACACATGCTTTTAAGAGCCATAGAAAGAGTTTCTAATTTGAAACAAGGGTATATATAACCAGGAAAGCTACAAAAATGGTATGTTCAAGTACAGATGTTCTTCAACAAGTTAAGATAAGGTTGTCTTCTGATAAAACCACAGTTAATCTGAAAACGCTGGGGGTCGAAAATGCATGTAATGCACCCAACCTACTGAACACTGTACTTTAACAAAACAATGCACCGAAGAGTATAGACAGCTAACCCTGATGACCAACGGCTGACTGGGAGCTACCTGGCATCTGAAGAGTATCAAACTGCAGATAGCTAGTGTGGAAACAAGAAAATTCATATTCAAAAGTAAGATGCCCACTAAGTGCATATGACTATCTTAAAATTGAAAAGTACACTATCTTAAAATTGAAAAATTGTTGAGTCAGGGACTTTGTATATTATGGTTATTTCTAATCTTATCTAGTTCTTTCATTTCTAAAACCAACAGCTACTTGATATTACTTATTTCTAAACATAAATGCTCTCCAAAGTTTTAATTAAAAATTCCTCTATGATCCAAAGTTTGGGCACTCTTGGAGTTTTAAACACTGGACTTTCAACCTTATAACTAAAAACAAAGGAACAATGCTGACCAACATTTCTAACAAATGTTGCTTAAAATGACAGACTAAAATACATATCCAAAATATCCAGAAGTGCAATAGCTTAGTATATAGAATACTGCCTAGCACATGGTTAAGCGCTCAATATTTTTACAGACCAAAATTCTGTACACAAAAAAATACTTTACAGAAACATATATGGGCATATTAATATTGCTTATTCCTTTAGACTTAAATTTTTAAAAGAATAGATTCTTTCAGAAACTGCAGGGCTAGCCTAATAGCTCAGCGGACTGAAGCACCTGCTTAGGCAGAGCGCAGCGGCCAGGGTTCGATCCCCAGGCCTGCTGTGCCAGCCCCACCCCCGGGGCACACTGAGAAGGTGACTGAGACTGGACATGGTGGTGTGCCTGTAGTCCCAGCACTTGGGAGGCTGAAAACAGGATAATCACTACAAGTCTGATCTACGCAGTGAGACCCTGAACACCCTGTAGACCCTGCCCTAAATACAGAAGGAAAAAAAAGAAAGAAACTGCACGCATGGATACCGAAATCATGTGTATTTTGGTCTCTATATAATTGGGCTTTTCTCAATATACTGGTTTAATTCTTCTTGGAACAATTCTTCTTTTCTCTCTTTTTTAATAATGTATTTGGTTGTTGCGGGGTCTCATTATGCAACTCAGACTCTTAAGTGATCCTCCCACTTTCAGCCTTCTCAGCGCTGGGATCATAGACATGTGCCACCATGCCCCAGTCTCTGGCCAGTTCTGCCACCCTGGTGGCAGGACTAGCGCGCGACTGCTGGGGATCAAACTGCAGTCCCTGCACTTGCCTAAGCAGGCACTTTAGTCCGCTGAGCTATCTCGCTGGCCCACTTCCTGGAATGATTCTTAAATGATCAAATTATAGTCCAGCTAAATAAAGGTACAGCATGCTCTTTCAACTTTTTCAAACATCGTCATGATATTTAAAAGAAAACTACAACTTTTCACAATACCGTGATACACTTCACTTGAAAGCATCTTCACATGTATGTACAGAGAAACCGAGATTTCAAAGAAATCATCAAGTCCTCCCACCTACCATAACGTGGCCCCCAAAGGTATCATAATCGAAAAACTGGCACTGATTGTTGGCGTAGCATGAGTCCTCCATTTCTCCTTGGATCACAATATTGCGGGTGAGAATTCCAACTTCCGCTCTCATGTCTACCCCATCTATGATCTCTCCCATGTGCAGGAACTGAGGTGTTTCTGATTGAGACGGCACGGGAAAAAGAACATTAGAGCAAAACACAAAACCCCACAAAACACTTGAAGAGACAGTCTTCTTCGCTCTACAGCCTTAAAGCATTATCAAGAACTTAGCCCCTGTTCACATTCTCGAATGCTCCTAAAACACAGAATCCGATGAGATGGGATCCAATCCAGCGACCCACCCACAGCCTGTGCCCTCCTATGAGCTGTCCCGCCTGCACTCAAGCCCAGGCGCTGACAGAGAGCTTTATGAACAACTCAGTCCTCCTTTGAACAGCACTAATGACTAGAATCTGCCTACTACTCCAGCCTTTCTCTCTCCTTCCTATACCCTGAGCGCACGGGAAAAACCAGCACAGGTAATTCTGTAACAATGAATAATTTTGCAGATGTCGCTATCAGAGTATCAGGTGTTCGTGTTCCTACTTCAAAGCTAAAGTAAGCTGCACTTGGACACAGCCATACAGAACTGACCATCTTTTTTTTTGCCTATTTGCTTTAATATTTAACATCAATATAAGTTCTTTTAAATTTCTACCTTTAATGGAAGATCCTAACTTTTTAATGATGAGTTTTTGTCAGATAGCCTTTATTATACAAACCAGGGAAAACCATATAAATAAACCATGTTAGTCAGCTTCAGGGAGGCTTGGCATCATACAGGCTTGTCAACAAGAACAGGTATTTCAGAAAGAAGTAGTAATGCCAGCTGTTACCACCACGACTTTTGGGTGGTTTACGGCTTTTGGGTTTTTGGTTTATGTTTTTGTATTTCTTATGCCTCATATTATCAAGCAAGGGAGCTGGGTGTAGTGGTGCACATCCATAATCCCAGCGACACAGGAAGCCAAACAGGAAGATTACAAGTCTGAGGCCAGCTTACGCAATTTAGACCTTGTTTCAAAATTAAAAGAGCTCAGTGGTCCTAGGTTCAAGCCTCAAGACTGATGTGTGTGGGGGCATGTTTTTCAAGTTTGAGTAGAACATAAAAAAGTCTTCTGAAAATACCTATTTGGTTCCATTTTAAATATTACTGAGCTCTATTTTCACCAAGCAAAACCTTAAAACCCTTGCAATTTTTTTAATGAAGAAAAACTACTTCAAAAGCAGTCAGGCTCAGGTTGCTGTGGTTCAATCTCCACAACTCAAGCCAGCCAAACCTGCACTGAAGGCATTCGGAACAAAAAAAAAACTACTTCAAAACGGATCTAGTTGATAGCTGGACTTACTACTGTTTGGTAGTGCAAAATTAATGAGACTAGAAAAGGCCTTAGAAAAATCTATTCACCTACTCTAGCTCATTTCCTCTTTTTAAAACAAAGAAACTGAGGCACAGGAACACTGGTTTGCCTGGTTTGTATCATTAACAGCAAAAATGCTGCATAGTCCTCTGGAATCTAGAGTTTAACCTACTCCATTTCTAAGACTTTTTGTTGCGCTTTGTTCTGAGACAGAGTCTCACAATGTAGCTTAGGCTGGCCTTGAACTCACTATATAGCCCAGGCTGGCCTCAATTTCATGGCCATCCTCCTGTCTCAGCCTCCTGAGTGCTGGGATCACAGCTGTTTGCCACCACCAACAGCTAAGGCCTTTATTGTTGATGATCATAACATCAGCTAGCAGTGCTGCTGCTGCTGCTGCTGCTGCTGCTGCTGCTACAGATGAAGAGGAAGAAAATGACTCAGGGAGTCAAGATCCAAGGGAAGAATATGTCTCCTGTGATGTATTCTGAGATTTCGATACCTTTGACCTTGACCTGGAAGTGGCTGCACTCAGGACAGGGGAGGAGGGTGAACTCCTCGGCTTGGTACATAGAATAGTCTGTGCTCGCAACCACAATCCGCTCTCCAGGTTGCCAACCACTAACGTCGTCCAGTAGATGAAGCTTCACTCCATCAGCAGCCTCCACCCGGAAACCTGAGAGAGAAACCCCTAAAGCGAAAAAAGAGGAAAAATATGCATTAATAGGATTTTTTTCCCCTAAAAATCAATCCTCTCCCTGATTCCCAATTCAAAAATTAAGGTAAAGAGATTTCAGCAAGTTTTTCCTAGTGCTAACCATGTTCCAGTCAGTCTGTAGATACAAATGATACAAACATGAAAATTCAGAGCCGAGCCCCCAAGGAGAGAGAGCTCCGCGCATCACTAGCCACAATGCCAGACATCGCCCACTAAACTAATCATTTAAGTTTCAGTTTCCAAACCCCTCAAATTTCTACTCAGCACCTCAACTGTAGCCCTGTCCCCAACCTTAGCATACAATAAGAACATAATGTTCTCAAGTGAAAGCAGAAGTTCCGAGCACAGAATACACCTGCAGTAAATGCCCCATTCCTCAATCTGATCCCAGCATTAAAGAGATAGCTCATTAGTATGCAATCTTACCATTAGCTCAGAAAATCCCTCATTTCTGTGCCTTTGCTTTTGTTTCTTTCTTCTTGTTTAAGTTTATAAACAAGAAAAATTTATTTTTCCCCAGTTCTGGAGACAATGAAGTCCAAGGTCAAGTCACCCAGCAAGTGAGTGTCTGGTGAAGACAGGCCACCCCCTGAGTCCTTAACAAGGTGCCGGGGCAAACACATGGGTTTTTACCTACAATGTCCTTCCACTCTCATCTACCAGTCAAGATACCATCCACTTTTTTTAGAAACTTCAGGTAGATCTCTAAAGACTTCCCAGACTTCCCTGCTGGAAGTAACTTCTCTTTCCAGTGTGAGGCACCACCTTGGGCATTACTCACTCCTTCCCAACAGGCAGGAGGAAGACAGCTCAGCTCCATGCAGGACGCAGCAGTGAAGGCAGCAAGCGCATCCACCTCTGTATTCACTACTGTCCTCTCCACAGTACAAACCCACAGGAGTCTGCAGAATGGTAATAAGACCTATCTGACCTGCACTGTGACCTGGGGTCATGTGACAGTGCCCCGTCCCACTCAGCTCTTCCCCTGGGATGATGTCATTATTCGGTCTAGTAACTGCTAAATCTCTCCTAACATCACCTTTGAAATTCAAAACTGGTTCTCAAGTCTCCTAGACCCTTTCCCACTTGCAGGAGATCTGTCCCCAGCACTCCTTCTATCCATCCTTTATTATGTTCTTTGTTGTACTTTGCTACACTCAGCCGAGAGATACCATAAAGCAGTGGTGGTGAGCCTTGAACAGCTTTCAAACAGCCCCCTGTGCGTGTGTACCCGAGGCTCACCACCACTGCTATGTGGCATTTAAGCTTGGATGTCTGATTTAGTTCACTCAGCAGTGTATCTTCCAGGTCCATCCATTTTCCTACCAATGCCTCCAACTTGTTCTTTTTCATAGCCAAGCATTATTCCATTATCATCAAGAGCAAGAGAAGAGGGGAAGAGGAAAAAGAAGTAGAATAAAGATCTGCCATGCACAGGAACCTAATAACCTCAATGAACAGAAGGCATGTGTCTCATACAGGAGCTCAGAATAATAATATCAACAAGAGTGAAAATGGGGAGTGGGGATTCAGAGGAAGAGGGAAGAAAGTGGGTGGGAAAGAGATTAGTATAAATCGAGCTATATTATGTACCCTACAAGATGACTGTAAACATTATGCTGTAAACATGTACTACTAAAAAAAAAAAAACCGGTTCTCAATTACATAAATAGGAACTGAAAAGCTAACCCAGGTTATTCACAACTTACATGTCTTTCACATGCAACCCGAGACAGAAGCATCTCCTGCTTCTAAATGTCCACTATGGAATCTGTCATGATTCAAAAGCTAATCTCACAGCGTACAGCTACTTTATAGTATCAGTGGAGAAGGGAAAACGTCATTTCACATGGTAAAGATAGCTACTTCATAAACGTGTACTTCTCTATCTTTCTAGCCACTCCATACGACCCTGGAACGACCTTAAGACGCTAATTAAGGCACACTGATACAAGCCCAAGAATGCATTTGCTAAGGTTAGTGGAATCAAAAGGAAAAAAAATCAGACAAGGAACAAGGAATAATACAGACAGACATACAGTCTAATGCACCCAGCCAGATAAAACTGAACATGGGCTCTCTTGGATTCTGTTCTTTTAAATTCCAAAATGCCCTACTTTTACATTTTTGCCACACACACACACACACACACACACACACCCTAATAAACATTTTTTTTTATTTTTCTTGCATCTAAATACTAAAGCCTATAACGAGATTTTATCCAAATAATCATATAAATAATAATCCCAACAATTATAATAATATCTAACATCTGCTGGGATTTTATATGCACAATAAACTTTATAAAACAACTCTAAGAGATTAAAAAAAAATGACATTCCTTAGAAATAAGGCACAGTCCTGGAAGTCTGAGCAACAGCTAAAACAGCAACTAAATAAAGGCAGCATCCAGAACTGAATTTTAACTACTACGAGGACCCAATTTTTTAATCTCTATATTGTACTGGCTTCTGTCTTTCAAGCATAAAAAAGCAGTTTAAAAACAAATATATATATATATATGTATATATATATATACATATATATATATATATATATATATATATTTTTTTTTTTTTTTTAAATGGCAGCAAGAACCATTCCCCCAAAAGGTCAGGTTTTACCAAAAAAGAAATGGAAAACTTCTCTCCTAAAAAAGAACTAGGAAATACTGATTCATATAAAATTTCAAAACTTCCTCAAAAAGATAATATTGATTGGAAAGAGCATCTGTTAAAAAGTAAAGTTAAATAGGAAAGACTGTACTACTCAATAATTGTTCACTTTTTTCTTGCTGTAGCAGAAAATTCCGCCTGAGATCATATCTTGCTGGCACTGTTGATGGGAAATTTAAAAGGAATTCAGTCCAGTCTCTGCTTCCCGGGGAGAATTTCCACCTCTTCCAGACAGTAAGAGTCCCTGGGAACACGAGACGCAGACAATAGCCTCGGATACACAGTGAGGACAGCCCTCTTCCAGGGACAGGCGGTCCTTGGTAACGTGGGAATGAAGATGACATTTCCTACAGGAAAGCCTGAGTCAAGAGCTGTTGGAGATTGTCCCCTTCCTGAAACCTCCCTGGAGGGAGGGAGGAGCGATAAACTCCACTCACAGGCGCCAACCCCTACTAGGACGAGTTCCCCACCTGCCTACGCCTTGTGCCAGAGGCAACCACCGTGTGGTAAAAGTGGCAGTGATCCTGGGAAGGAGACAGCTGGACCACAACTCCCTATCTGATAGCATTTGCTCACCCTAAATCCTGAAGGTTTCTTGGAGGCCACACGGAAAAGTTCCTGTCACACCCCAAGGGTCCACAAAATAAAAGACTTTCACCAACTACAGTGATTCAAAATAAGCCACTGTAACACAAGGCACACTGCCTCAGCAGCACGTCCTCTTACTATACGCGCTGTGCTGACAACTTCCCGTCCTAGCATCTGCTGCTCTTGGCAGCCCTAAGTGATGGCTTCTAGTGTCCCTGTTTTCAGATGAGGTAAGGAGGTTCAGGAAGTAAAATCAGTAAGTGAAAGAGCTGCCGCAGGAGCCCACACATTCTGCCTCCAGAAATCCCAATTCAAGAACACTTTGTCTCCTTGCTGCGAAACAGAGGTGGGATCCCAATTTAAATAAAGCTTCCTGGGTAGACACAGATGTGACTAGCACCCTTTCTTTTATTCTTCCACATTAACTTGGTGTGGCGTTTACTTGGAAAAGAAAGATGGTGGCCGCGCACAGACAGAACACTGCCCTTTATAGCTGGAGCTAAAAGCTCTCGGCAGCAAAACAAGCAAATTTAAAAACATCACATTGGAACATCACAGTGGAACATTCCTTCAAAGAAAAAAAAAAATCAAGAGCTCCCTAAACAATCTGTGCTGGCCCTAAAAGATAGATTTGAATAAGATATTCTGAAAAAACTTTAAAGACATAAGATAACTATGGTAGGAAAATAAAATAAGGGAATAATGTACATTAAGGTTTTTTTAATCCTGTAATATTATGCAATAAAACTATTATCTCTGCATAATGGGACTGAAGATTAACTTTTTTTAATAGTTTATTTATTTTATTTTATTTTATTTTATTTATGTGTGTGTGTGTGGCCAGCTCAGCCCACCAGGGGGCGGGGCTGGCTGGCATGTGGTGCTGGGGGATTGAACCGTGGTCTCCCTGTGCTTTGCTAAGCTTGTTCTAAGCAGGTGCTTTAGACCACTGAGCCATCTCACCAGCCCCTAAAGATTAACTTTTAATGTGTTCCTCTCCTGTTTTCACTTGTCCATAGATAAACATAATTGGATCAGAGGGCAAAACTAAGTTAATCCAAAGTTTCTTTACATAGTCTGTGATCCAAGGCATTATCTGCTGATATGTCAGCACCAAGAAAAGATCTGAAGGGTAAAATCACGTCCCATTCAGACTGGTTCAGCTGGCACCACGTTCAGGCAGCAAGTCCACTTCTACCAGCTAATCACGTTCTGTAACTGAAATATCAAGAACAAAGGTCATCCGGGGATTCCCAATCTAGAAGAGATCATTCTCTAGTCCAGAAAGCACTCTTGAGTGTGAAAGACTTGAACAGGGATACAAGTTTCAACTTCAACGGGTGGAGAAATCCAACCGGACAGAGAACTGGAACATAGTATTATAAAAAAATAAGTAAATAAAAATCTGCCACTCTATTCACCAACACCTTACAGGAACGTAAAGTACACTTGCCTACCTTTGTCCCATTCACTATAAGCTGTCACAGAGAACTTCTGACCATCCACGGTGTAAAATTCTCCTCGTGCAAGAGCCTTCCCCCCGCTGCTGTGGTTTTCATAGTACCTCACAGACTCATTGCAAGAAGCGCTTCCACCATCAATGACACCAACTAAAGCCCAAGGTTGCCTAGAAGGAAAAAAGGCAAGCACGTTTGATTATTTGGCATGGTGTGAACCCAAATCTTTGACAGAGATGTGAGGGAGAGATGCTATTTAATTCCTGTATTTCATTTTTGCTGATTCCTGGGCCTATTCTCCCATGAGGCTGCAATCCCAAACCTGGAAATACTCATCACCACAGAAACAAACACACTTGATTCTCAAGCACTTGTTTATCCAGCTTGGTAACAGGTGAAACACCGTGACTTCAGTTCCTCACGGCCTTCCTTCCTGATACACACCCGCGTGACTCATGCTGCTTCCTAGTCACGCTCGGGCTCTTTCCTTCAAAATTATCAACTTCTCTTCTAAACTGTCTTCTGCAGTGCTCTCAGAAACCCAGCTGCATAAGAGAACCCCATGGGGCACTTCATAAACACACATTCCACGGTGCAGAGCCGAGCGGGCCCAACACAGCCATAATATCTGAGGGCTCACTTGAGAGTATAGTTTGGAAGTTCTCCAGGTAGTCTGAAGGATCTAGACTTTGAACCGCTGAGTGCAAGCAATGATTCTGAAACTTCAGTGAGCCTCAGAATCACCCAGCAGTGCTGGCAGGTGTGCCACAGAGGGCTGATTGTATCCCTGAAAGCTCTAAAGCGTTTGCCTTTCAGAGTGGATCCACTGCTCTGTCCCAACTCCGAGCTCCTAGGTGGGACCAGAGAATCCGCCTTGCCAGCAAGTTCCCAAGCAACGTCAATGCCGCTGGTCAGGGCACCACACTTTGAGAAGACTTCAATGAGACCCTAGGGGGTGGACCCCTGATTACCAACCCTGACTGCACTTCAACCCCTGAGCATCTTACCAGTGAGACCCCGTCCTAAGCCTGGCACCAGGGATGGGATTTTTTTAACATGTCCAGGTATGCAGACAAGGTTGCAAACCACAGAGTTAGAGTTTTCTTAACATTTTTAAACCTTCAGAATCACTCTTCAAACAGACTTTCGTTTTACACAGTTGTCTATTTGATGCAAGAAATGTGTTTCAGGTGCCATTTTACTTCTGTGACAGACTTGTTCAAGCTTGTGGCAAGAATCAATCAAAGAAGAAAATACAAGAAGTCAGAGCATTGGCCTTAAAGCTCTTGATTCAAAATATAAAAAGAAAAATATCAACTTCCTACCCTGAGGGGAAAGAACATCAAATGTAATCTATGCCACGCAGATGGATGAATATTCAGAGATTAAAAATTAACCAAAGTGGGGCAGGAGAAATAGCTCAGTAGAATAAGCTCTTGCCTGGCAAGCGCAGGGTCTTGAGTTCAATCCCCAGCACCACAAAAAAAAAATAATCATAATAATAAAATAAATAAAAATTAATTGATTAACCAAAGCATTCCCACACCCTTAAAAATGCTATAGTACCCCCGTACAGATTAGCTGCTCTTGGGCTGCCAATGCCTTATAACTCTTTATTCCCTTGACTCAGCAGAAAAGATCGAATACAGAATGTCTCATTTTATTATTTCATATTTAAAAGAGAAAAAGAAAGTCAGAGTCGTCCTTTACTGACCAGAACTGTCTCAGCAGCTATAAAACAGCATTGCATTCTACTGACAGTATCTCCAAAGCATTTCTACTTCTTTCCTCCACTTGAGGAAAATTTCAACACCGTAGAATATCTTCAAAGAAGTGCATGTGTATCTACACAAGCGATGTCACCAGAATGCAGGGTTAGCAAAAGCTCATAACTGCAATTTCTCCATCAAAACAGTGACAGTATTTCAAAGGGAATTTTTTTTCTTTTTTTTTTGGCTTTTTTGAGACAGGGTCTCACTACGAGGTTCAGGCAAGACTTGAGGTGGGCCTTGAGCTCACTTTTGTAAGGCTGGTCTTAAACTCCCAAGGATCCTCCTGCCTCAGCCTCCTGAGTGCTGGGGTTACAGGGGTACACCACCATGCCCAGCTTCAAAGGGAACTTAGAAAGCAGTCCAGTAAGGTGAGGCAAGGCAGCCCTAACTGCTCACATACACCTAGAAACAATGGTACCGTGAGGAGGTGAGCACTAGTCCTTGGCACTACCAGATAAGGAATTACAGTGAGTGTTACAGTTTGGGCCTTAAATGCCCCCCAGAATTGATCCCCAGATGATGGCATGCTGAGAAAACCTTTAGGAGGCAAAGATTTCAATCACTAGTGTCATGCCCCAGAAGGGATCCTAGAACTACAAGCCTTTCATGCCCGCCCCTTTCACTGGCTGTTCTACACTGCCCTGGGCTCAAGGGCATGGAGCCAAGTCACCAAAGTCTAAAGTGAAACTGACTCAGAATAAACCTTTCCTTCTTATAAGTCGATTACCTTGGGTGTTCTGTCACAGCAACAGAGCTGTCTGACACAACACGTGCCTAATCTGAAAAGACCATGCTTCTACTGCAGGCGTATGAGTTACAGGAAGACATGCAGTACAAAAGCATTTTTGTTTTTAATTGTTTACATAGCAGGGTCTTGCTACACAGTTCAGACTCACAGTGATCCTCTTGTCTCAGTCTCCTCAGTGCTGGGGTTACAGAGGTGCCCCACCATGCCTGGTTTTGGGGCCAGCACAGCACACTTGGGCTTCATGAACCCCCTCAGCATGTGGTACCGAGGCTGGAACTCAGGTCACTGTGCTTGCCAGGCAGGCACTTAGTCCACCAAGCTATCTCCCCAGCCCGAGAAGCATTTCTTCTAACAGATCCAAACTAGAAAGCCATTCAGGTGTCAGCCAGTAAACAAACTGTGGCATATTCATAAAATGGAAAATAACAAAAATGAGCCAGCATGACGTGAATTATCATGCATGACAGTGAAATAACACAATGCTGAATGCCAGAGTACAAAAAAGCTAGACACAGGATACACGGTCTGCTTCAATTAAAATGTTCAAAAACAAAAAAAAAAAATGTTTAAAAACAAGCAAGGTAAACTTCAGTGTATCTCACAAATGCAAGAGAGTGGTCTTCGGTGGGGAACAAAGCAATCAGTTCACAGAGCTAGAAGGGATCGTGCTGGCAGTGTTCTATTTCTTGACCTGGATGGTGGTTATCCAGGCACTGAAGTGTGCTCCTACATCACGAGGCTCCAGATTCTTGGTTACTGCCCTTTTTTGCATACATATTACAAAAAAAAAAAAAAAAAAAAACCTTCAAGATTTTACTCCTGGTACTTCCTTAAATAGAAAACTTTTCTTCTTTGCCATCTACACAATATACTTCTGAAGCTCCTCCAGGTCTTGCCTTTAGGATATCTGCACTTCTGTTCCCACTACAGACTAAAGCTCAGCCACCGTCTCACTGTATGATTACCACTGGTGCACTCTCTTTCTACTCACTAAACTAGATGAGCGCTATAGAACAATGTTCTAAACACTGATGCACACCCAGCAATTAGCATCTCCTAAAAAAAAAAAAAAAAAAAAAAGGTAAACCAAAGCCATTTCTTAAAACGTTACAGACTCCTCCTTTTCTTTACTAATTTTTGTCTTCTGAAATTTTTGGAGTCAACACTAAATCAATCACCTACCATCACAGGAAAAACTCACTAGCTCATTTCAGTACGTGGAATTTGAGGTCCTCATACTTTTCTTACTGTAGATATTTCCCGACCTTACTAAGAACATTCAGCAGAATTATAATTTCTAGTTTCTGAATTAAATGTTGCACCAGGACTCAAGAATACCTTAGGAACTCAGAGTTAATACAAATGTTGATTCCTCAGTTCTCCTGTGTTCTCTTACCTCACAGATGCCAGAACTCCACAGACTGAGGCAATCAAACACGTAGATTCAAATCAGCATGCACAAGATTTTGAGAAAAATTGCATAAGAGAAAACTGAGCAGCCCCACCTCTCGGGGCTTGTACCAGGTTTAACCCTTCAGGAAGGAGAGATGCCCTAACCTTTCAAGTCCTCAGTTACCTCAGTTAGCCAGAAAGCAATGAAAGAAGGAAGTCTCTTCAAAAGTAACTGATCTTTAAGCTGCTTATTTTTTTCAGTACTACACTTTTCTCCTCACAAATCTGAGAGGAGAGTTCACAGAAGACTTCTGAAAGCAAAGCCCCATCAAGAGCTTTTATATCCCATATACAACTGTTCAATCCTATATTTCCAAGTAAAAGCAAACCAAAGGGAGTGGCCAGGCTGCGCGGCACTGTGGGTCTTTCTCCACTCCCTCCACTCTCACACAGGCGGGGCTCTAACCCAGAGCTGGGAAGAGGAGAGCAGGGCATGCCTACCTGTAGCCCAGTCCTTGGATCAGCTTGCTTCCCAACCGATCCCGGATCATCTGGATAGTTCCTTGTAAGAGGTTCTTGACTGCTGAGTCTCCGACAGCTATGGCAACAATTCGTCCTGGGTCCTGGACTCTCAGAAATTCCTGAAGTTTCCGACTCTCGTTTTGGTACTCGTGAGTATCAAACTTGACACTTTCCAAAATTTTGGCTGTGTCTTGGTCAATGACCCTCACATTGAGGCCACGGGAAAAGTCCTTCTCAAAGCTATAGGACCCAAAGGGTAAGCCTGTAGAGTTCAGCGTCCTGGCCAACAACGTCCAAGATGTCTTCCGGGTCCCATGTAACTCCAGTGTCCCACCCGCTTCTACACCAATAAACTTTTTGCCAAATGTTGGCATACTCTCGCCTTCATCTGACTTGCCATACAAAGCAATCGTCGCTTTGGATTTATAGCGGCATTTTTCTGCTCCAATATGAAGCGCCCCACCATCCTGGATCAGGATGTAACGAGTCCTCAAAGTAATATTTCTGGATCCATCTTTATCATCCCCAAATACAAGCAGTCCTGCAGGGAACAACACTTAAGGTAAGCCAACTTCTAGCATGTCTTCCAGGGATGCAGAAAAATCAATTTCACTTTAAGGATAAAATATACATATTTGTACAATTAAGCTGGCAAAAATTTACTAAGAGTATGTTTAAAAAAATAAACTAGTCTACAAAAATATTGAAGAAAAAGAAGAGTTAATATCTCAATATATTAATAGTGTCCAGGAGTATGATTTTTAATTTATTCACTTTAGAATTATTTCTACAAATACCTAAAAATATACAAATCTGAATCTCATGTTTATGCATAGTAACTGTGTTAACTCCCCATCAGTTGTAACAAAGACTCAGCTATGAGAAATCATCTGTCTTGTTTATTGTCTACAACTAAAGTCTTGAGTTATTTCTAAGGTCCTTATAGCTTTTGAACTCCATGATTCAAACTTGGAAACTAAGCACATCCCCACAGTTAGAGTTACCCTAAAGGCTATCTAGTCTAAGAACAGTTTCTACATAAGAACACCAAATAACCTTCACCATTAAAACCAAATTTGTGGGCCAAATAGCTCAGCAGATTAAAAGTGCCTGAAAGCAGGTGCAGGGGCTGGGGGTTCAATCCCCAGACGGGCCTGCCATGCCAGCCGCACCCCTGGGGCATGGTGAGATGGCAATTGAGACTGGGCGTGGTGGCCCATGCCTGTAATCCCAGCTCTTGGGAGGCTGTAAATAGGTGGATCACTACGAGTCCAATCTAGTAGTGAGACCCTGAACACCCTGTTGATCTTTTCCTAAAATACAAATAATAATAATAATAATAATAATAATAATAATAATAATAAAACCAAGTTTGTGGCTCTCGTGGTCCAGGACTATTACCCACCTCCATCCTTAATGACTATAGAATTCACGGTGGCGTCGGAGGTCAGACGAAACAAATCACCCTCCTTGATCACAACTTGTTTTGAAGAATCTTGCCCTGGATCCCAGTTCCTGAGACGGGGGTTTTGATCCGGGCAATTCTCTATAAAAGAACACAACACTGGTATCTCATCCCATGCCAGCGAATGCAAAACTATCACTAATCCAAGCACTATCATCGCTGAAAACAGATCTCCAAGTAAGGTGCTGAAATGCTGGGATTTAGTGCCATTAGGGTGGAAACTTTCTTCTTCTCAACCACCACAGAAATGTCATAACCTTTACTTCACCAGTTTAAAAAAAAAAAAATATTACCATAAAACTAAGTTGTTAGCTAGCACACAGTTCAGGTCAAACTGCAAAACATAAAAATGGGAGTTCTCCTGAACCATCTACTCTGGAAATAAACCATCCATCAGAAGGAAAATTATGACCTGCCCTGGACTCACACCAGAGAGCTGTTTTAGAAAAAAAAAAAAAAACACGGGTCTGGGTATGCAGCTCAGTGTACAGCACCCCTCTGGAATACAAGAGGCCCTCAGCATCACCAAAATGAACAAAACAACACAAAACAATCACAACACACTGCTAAATGAAAATTGATAAATAATGTGCATTACATATTTACAAGCATCTGCTTATGCACAGTGAATCACAAAGTCTTGACAGTACTGCCATACCAGCACCTACTCTAAGGCAGGAGCAGACAGCAGCACTGTCTTCAGCCACGCACACTTGGCTATGGTCTATACCTACACGTTCCCCTGCAAAGGCTCACACAGCCTTAAGGCATGGCTACTGCCGGGGGCTTTTAGGTAGATTTATGTTAGAGATCAAGAGCGAAGAGCCCAGCAGTATGATTTAAAACACTGAAGTTCGGTCCGAGAGGAAGCTCTAGCAGAGCTGTGGGCTACAAACACAGGGCCGAGGACTTGACTGCTGAGAAGGAACAGGAGAGTAGAAAAGGTGGCCTGCGGGCCTCACAAGATGCCACAGGACTCCACGCTTCCTCAAAATTGCCAGTGAAAGTATGCTTCGAGAAGACAGCCCCAGAGCACTGTGTTCCAGAACAGCAGCAGCACAGAGCACCTGCTCCTCAGAATCAGGTTCAGGATGCGCAGAGATCCAGATGCTCGGCCCCTACAGCCATGAAAGAGGGAAGCCTGGCTTTCGGTCCAGCTGGCAGCAGACTGGCACCTCCACATGCTGCTGGTTTGAGGCACATGCAAAATCAAGAGTTGTGGGGTTAGAAAGGCTTCTAGTCAGATTTCACAAGAAGGCCTGGAAGGCAGGCAGCATCCCCCTGAAGAGACAGTGTGTGAAGCCGAAGGTGCAGTGCAGACTCCAGAAGTTTCAAGAAGCTAGGAACGTGGACCAACTGAGGAAAACTGCAAGGAGAGAGTATAGCAGGCTCAAGCGAGAGGTCATGGGAGCTCCAACCACTGCAAGTGCTAGAGGGGCTGAGCCACCCAAGCCTTTGGAGGTCACATATAGCCACAGATTGCCTCAGACGCTGCACATGCAACTACGGGACTTCTCGTTTGCCCTGTTGGATTTTGGACTTGCTTTGGTTCCATTCCCTGGGATGCCTGTTTGCAACCTTTGAGATGGAAATATCTATTGCACATTATTGAATGTCAGAAGTATTTAGCTTTCTTTTCATTTGTACAGGGGCTCACAGCTAAGAGTTCACCCTAAATCTCAGTGGACTTGGATTTTTTAACGATGCTGAAACTGTTGCGACTTGGCAACTCTTGGAGATGGTCTAAATGCCTTTTGCCTAAAAGAATGTGCTTGAGTCTTTGGGAGGCTTGGGACAGAATCTTATAGTCTGTGTCTGGATGCCCCAAAAGCCTCATGCAGTAACAGGGGAGGGGCTTTGACTGAATCTAGTGTGTGATGCTGGGATTTTTAAAAACGTGATCAGTTCACTGATTGCTTTGGCACTGCCTTAATCCCAGCAGCCTAGAAAGAGTATAAATAAGGCAGAAAGACACTTTTAAGGTCCCTTGTTGCTTTTGCTGTCTTCCCTCACCACGAAAGGTTGTCCATCTGCTATGTGCCACCCTTCTTTGGAGCTGATGGATTAGGTGAACCCCCTACTAACTGGGAGCTAAGCACATCTTTCCTCCCTGAACTCTGGGCATTGGGTATTTTGTCTCAGCCACAAGAAAAATAACTAAGATGTTTTCCTAACAAAATTGCAGAAATATGATGTCTCAATTTCAGCTGTTAAGGAATTACAAACCAGAAGAGCCAACCCCAAGATTGCTCAGTAACTTGAGTGATATGGAAGTTTCTATTTAAGAAATGAGATTCTTTTTTTTTTTTTCTCTGACGTTATTTGGCATAGGGTCTCGCTGCGCAGCTCAGACTCGTAGTGATCCTCCTGTCATCAGCCTCCCCAGTACTGGGATTACAGGCATACATCACCATGCCCAGACTCACTGGCTAACTCAGCGCATCCAGGGCTGGGGCCAGCGCAGCATGTGGTGTCAGGTATGGAACCCCAGTCCCTGCGCTTGCCTTAGCAGGCACTTAGTCCACTGTACTAGGGTTCCTCATTAGAATTAGAATTTGTCCACTGAACAGGTGATAATGAAAACAGCTATTTATCTATGAAATCTTTCCATTTTATCAGCTACTTGTATTTGTTCATTATTAATTTGTCCACTTCTGTTAGATACTGTCAAATTTCCAAAGCACAGAATGAGTTCATTTTCTATGCTCATTTTTAAGCCAGTCTGGGAGAAAAAGCCTCTATGTCTATAACAATTAAATGCTGAAAAATGTGGTGGTTATGTTAGGTGCAAATGACTTCAAACCTAGCAGGGATGGGGCTAAAGTAACTCAGCTTAGTGGAATAAGTGTCACTAACCCAGGTCCTTAATGGACAGCAGAGCACCAAAGGCAAATCATATGAGAAATGGCCCAAGTGTCCCCACCATCCAAGTTTGATCATTCAAGTTAGAATAGCAAGTCACCTATATATAAGCTAGCAAAAATAGGAACTAGCAAGACACACTTGAGCACCATCAGAAGACTTTTAGTTAAGGTAGAAAGTACACATTAAGGAAAAAATACAGAGATTTTATACAGAATATATTTTACAGAAGAAAACAATTCCAAGGGCTGGCTAGACAGCTCAGCGGACTAAAGCGCCTGCTTAGGCAGACACAAGGACTAGGTTCCATCCTCGGAGCGCAGGTGTGCTGTGCTGGCCCCACCCCCAGGGCATGCTGAGACAGCCACTGAGACTGGGCGTGGTGGTGCAGGCCTGTAATCCCAGGTCCTGGGAGGCTGAAAACAGGAGGATCACTATTAGTCCCATCTGCGTAGTGAGACCCTGTAGTATGTAAAAAAAAAAAAGGAAAAAAAAGAAAGAAGACGACAATTCCAGCCAGGTGCAATGTCATACGTCTATCTACAATCTCAGCTACTGAGGAGGCTGAGGCTGCAATATCTCACGTTTAAGGTCAGCCCAGGCAATTCAATGTGGCCTTTTTCAAAACAGAATTGTTTTTTTAAAAGGGCTAGAGATTGTAGCTCAGTATTCTCTTGGTTCAATTGCTATTACCACAAAAAAAAAAAAAAAAAAAAACCAGATTATTCATTCTAGGTCTTCATCTGGAACTTGCGCAACCCCAAAGCATTCATATTTCAAAACCCTTACATTGCCCCAGGCTTACGCTTCTTCATGGAGGTGACAGTAACTACAGTTAAAATTAGCCTCGTTAGTTAAGCCCTTGGCAATTATTTCATAGACTTAATTTTTCTCACAGGATTACAAGGGTGAAGGTGTAGCTCAGTGACAGAATTCTTGCTTAGCACACATGAGGATTCCATACCAGCACCACAAAAAAATGAAAGTAAAAATAATCCTAATACTTTTCTTCCCATCAAAGAAGTAAAAAAGCTCAAAATTTTTCCGACTTCATACTGAGGATATCTTGGACCTTTCTTCAGCCTCCCTGTCGTCCCATAAAACTTCTAGCTGGAATTCTCCATGGTATTATTTACAAGGCAAATCCATGCCCCATGTAACAAACACTGTACTCAGCCAACACAGCGCATGGAAACCCAGGCTTCTGGGATCCAGGGCCTACTAATGTAGTTATATGCCTTCTCTTAATTGTTTATCATTATTCCCCAGGAGGGCACACCTCACCAGAACAATCACCAAGAGTTCCAGTCTGTGTCTTTCCAGTAAAATGTACTTAATGAGAAAATGTGTCGTGTACAGAAAGCCCTGAAAAACAGTTTAGACAGCCCCACTTCCCGGCAGCCCAGTGGCAGAGCAGTGAGGGCTCTGTAACACGAAGACCACAGTAAGGCTGGCCCTTACGTCCGTCAGCACACCAGAACTTTCCGCCGATAGTCTGCACTCGCGCTGCCAAACCGCGAAACTAAAGAACGCTGACTCAAGGAACCGCATCAGCAGTTCGCGTCCTAGGAAAGCCAGAGCTTGAAGCTCCCATTTCCAACCCGTCTAGCAACCCTCCACTGCAGATGCCTTGGCAAGGTCGAACCAGCAGCAGTGAACCTGGCTATTCCACTGGGGAGAGGAGATAGGGTGGTAATACAGTTCTACTGCAAGCAAGCAACAGAATCCATTTGTGCACTCATAACGTGGTCTACTTGCCTGGGTCAACAGAGATGTTAATACGAGCGCCTCTTTTACTGTCTGTTCTCTTAGAAATACTGAATATAGTCCCCTGTCCCCTCTCCCCACTCCATGTGGACATTAAAACTAATGAAATCCCTAAGGCACCACAGAAAACTGAACAGTATTTCTAAGTCTTAAAAATAGTGTGATTACAGCTGGCCAAATAGCTCAGCGGAATAAAGCCCCTGCAAGCAGGCACGGGGCCGGGGTTCGATTCCTGGGCTTACCATGCCGGCCCCACCCCCGGGACGTGCTAAAACAGTAATTGAGACTGGGCATGGTGGTGCGCACCTGTAATCCCAGGATTTAGGAGGCTGTAAACGGGAGAATCACTACACGTCCAATCCTGTAGTGAGACCCTGAACACCCTGTAGACCCTTTCCTAAAAATACAAAAAAAAAAAAAAAAAATAGTGTGATGCACTTCAACTGTTTCAACCATTTAAAAAGACATCTAACTTGACAAAAAAATCTGTTGTAAACTTTATTTTTTAAAGAAACGGACAAGTATTTTGGTGTCCAATTGAGGTTATAGTGGTATGATTTTTTTTATTTTTATTTATTTATTTATTTATTTGCAGAACCTGGGACTGAACTCAGGCCCTTGTGCTTGCCAGGCAAGTGCTTATTCTACTGAGCCATCTCCCAGGCCCCCATAGTGGTATGATTCTGCCATAGTCCAGAGCCTCGATTTTCAGACAGGTACATTAGGTTTTGCTTTGTTTTTTACACACACCCATGTTTATAACAGCATAATTTTTAACAGCTAAATCTCAAAAACAGCCCAAGTGCCCCATAAACCAGAGAATGGGTAAAGCTGATGTAGTTTCTTCCAACAATGGAATACTTCTTTGCCATTAAGGATAAGCTTGAAATTTTCAAGCTAAATGGTTGCACCTGAAACCATGCTCGTAATGAAATAAATTGGACAAACATGTTAAAATCCTGCATCGTTCCTCCAAGTGTGATAAACCAAAAGTACAAATAAGGGCCGAGATATAAAACAGATACTGGGAAATGGAAAGAAAATGTTCAAATGGAAAGGAGAGCAAGGGAAGGGTATGGGGGAAGAAAGGAAGGAACGAACAGACGGAAAAGAGAACAAATAGAAGTATAAGACAGAAATAAAAGCTTTTGTAAACCATGAGTAAAAGAGACTGAAGGAAGGGGAGGGGTAGGGAAAACCGGAGCAAACATATCCGGTATAGGTCCAAATTCTCTACGATCAATGTTAACCATTATGCATATTTAAAACGTGCCACACATTGCGTTAGCCTATGAGGCAATTCTTTATTGGTGTCATCATCGAAGCTGGCTGGCAACAAACTTCTTCAAAACCATTCAGAGTAAATGCATTACCATCACATAGGTGATCTGATGTCTTAAAAAAAGCAAAGACCATTTAAAAAATTAAAATCTCCTTAACTATGAAGTAATCAGTGATTCTGAGACAAAAAAATAACAGACGTTATACATCCTGATGGAAATTTCTCCTTAAGGATGTACAGCCTCTCTTTTGGAAGTATATTACCAAATCCATTTCAAACTATAAAACACAAGTATTGTTTTTAGTCACTTCATTTTTAAATCAAATCTCATTACTACTTATGACCAAAAATAAATGTTGGCATTCTAAAAACCATACTTTGTCCCCAAGGATGAAACTGGGCCACTAGAAGAATTCTGCAAAGGCTCAAAAGCATTTCCAAAAGGGATGCCTCAAGAACAATTGGAGGGGACTGGGGAAATCGCTCAGCAATCTAAGCGCCAGCCTGGCAAGCACAAGGACCTGAGTTTGAACCTTGGTACATGGGCTGGCCAGCCCCTAAACCAGGCATGGTGGCACAGACCGTGATCCCAGTGCTGGGGAGGCTGAGATAGGAGGATCACTATGAGTCAGAACTGCGTAGCAAGACCCTGTGTCAAATAAATAAATAAGAGCAATCTGAGGGGTGGCGAGACAGCTTAGTGGACCAAGTGGCTGCTTAGGCAAGCACAGGGACCAGGGTTTGATCCCTGGCACTATGCCAGCCCTGCCACCGGGCACACTGAGCTGGCCACTGAAACTGGGCATGGTAGCGCATGCCTGTAATCCCAGCACTGGGGAGGCTGAAAGCAGGAGGATCGCTATGAGTCCAACCTGCGTAGTGAGACCCTGTACCAAATACAAAAATTAAAAAAAAAAAAAAAAAAAAAAAAAAAAAAGAACAATTTGAGTACCAGGACAAAGTAGAAAAACAGAAAAGACCAATCCTTCAATTTTCTAATTTCCAATGGAATCCCTGAGCAACTTATTCTCATTTACAAGCAGTTACACTTCATATTACCTGCACAATAAAGCTAAATTAATGCAATAAAAGCTCTTAAAAATTACTGTATTTCCTCCCCATCTCTCCTTCTGGAAAATGTCCTGTGCACAGACACAAGCGCACACACATGCACACACAAACACACATACACTTACCATCTGGAGCATACTTTGAGGCTATTCCTAAAATGACTGCAAGGGTAACAAAAAACGAGAAACTGGCTATCGCAAAGCAGATGAACGTATTCTTGTGTCTCTTCTGCTTCCTGCTGTCTCTCTGGATTTGCTGTTCTTCAGGCGAGAACGCAAAGGTTGTCTGGGCTTCTTGTCTGATGGAGGTGGATTTAGCTGATGCTTGACTCTTTGGAGGAGGAGGGGGGCGCAGGGGGACAACCTTCCCTGGAACATAACCAGGTGAGCGGTGACTGCTTCCATTCTGAGGTTGTACAAAAGCAGGGGACTGTCCCCTGGAACCAGTGGCATACATGATACCTTAACACTGCAAAAAAAAAAAAAAGCCAAAACAATTTTAAATAAGACTCAGTATGTAAAACATTATGACATTTTATTATTGTACAGTATATATAACAACAATTGACATCTTAGCCATTTTTAGGTTGAGCAGCATCAAGTCTACACAAAGTTGGGCAATCATGACCACTACCAGAATTTTTCATCCACCATCTTTAAGTACCCCCCCATCCCTCCCAGACCACTGCAGTGCCTTTTTTCTTTCCTTTTGTATTTAGTACAGGGTATACAGGGTGTACAGGGTCTACAGGGTCAGGCTCGTAGTGATTCTGTTTTCAGCCTCCCAAGCGCTGGGATTACAGGCACGCGCCACCACACCCAGTCTCAATCACTGTCTCAGCGTGCTCCACTCCGGGGACAGGGCTGGCACAGCAGGCCTGGGGATTGAACCCAGCCACTGTGCTCTGCCTTAGCAGGCGCTTTCGTCTGCTGAGCTATCTGGCCAGTCCTATTCTTCTTAAAACTACCAAGTCAGCACACATCCTGTAAGACAAACCTTCCCCAGTTGGCTAATGCTGCTGTTTCTCCACCCCACTAACGACCTGTGAGCACTAATGCCAGGGCTACACCCCAAACAATTAAATCAGAATGCTTAAGCCTGGGATCCAAGCATCTGTATTTTTAAAGTCCTCCCCTACTGACTCAAATGAACATCCAGAGCCCACTGCTCTCACCCACTGATCTCCTTTTCAGTGGGCATAAACATCACCAGGGAAGCTGATTAAAGATGTAGGCTCCCAGGCTTTTTGCGCTGTGAATCTGGCCTATCTGGTATAGAAGTTCTGGATTTTACATTTTTTAAAAAATATACCTTGGTGGCACTGAAGTAAGCGCATGCTTTGAGTATTACTACATTAAGGTCTTCAAATTAAAGTTAAAAGTCTACATGGTAAATGAGGATCCCAGGGGAGCCTAGAAAAGTTTTGAAAGATAGGCAGCATTTTGGGGAGTTGAATTCTCTAACTCTACCACATGGGTAAGCAAGTTAAGTATTTCTCCTTGTGTTCTCACTTAACTGTGTACTCTGAATCTATACAGTAAGAAGGTCTGAAGTCTAGCCTATCTGTTCAAATCCTGAAATTAAATTTAACAAGCAGCACTCAAATATTCCAGTTCAGATTTTAAAAGAACTCATGTGCGCTTACTGCCAAGCACCTTACTCCACACCCTGTTATTTACATACTTCATAAAACAAATCTCCAAGTAAGCACCACCATCCCCACTTGCCTAGGAGAAATCTTGAGGCCTAGAAAGGTTAACGAATTTTCCCCAGTATCACACAGTCAGCAGGCACCGAGACTCAAGTTCAGGCTCTGAACAGTTATGCTACTGTGTCTGGCCTAGCTAGCGACAGGCAATAACTCCAACAGCCGGGCATGGTGGCACATGTCTGTAATCCCAGCACTGCCCAGGAGGCTGAGGCAGTTAAGACTGCCATGAGTTCAAGGCCAGCGTGGGCTACACAGTGAGACCTTGTCTTGAAAAAAAAAAAAGAACATCTTTTGCCATAGCGTAATCAGAATTGTGCTCAGCTTGAGAGGACATATTAATCATCTGACATTTTCATGCTGAAGTTCACTAGACTATACAGTACATGAATTTTTTTTTTTTTTAACCTGAGAAAAGCTGACACAGAAAAAGTCTAGTCCTCTCTTATTTTCTTATGTTCTTTATAGCAGTGGTCCCCAAGCTTTCGGGCACCAGAAGACTGATTAATTTCATTGAAGACAATTTTTCCAAGAAGAGTAAGTAGGGAAGTATCCGTTGGGATTATTTTTGTTTTTGTTTGGGTTTTTTTTTTAATGTTTTTTATACATAAGCATTACTTTCCCAGCTCTACCTCCTCCATTCCACCTCAAATCATAGGGCATTAGAATGCTCATAAACAGGGTTACAACCCAGGCCTTCACAGTGTGTACTCCTACGATAATCTGAGGCCATCACTGCAGGGACAGGAGGCAGAGCTCAGGACTAAGGTGAGTGATAGGGAGAAGCTGTAAATAAACATGAAGTTACTCTTCATCACTTGCCCCCTCACTATGGTCTCCCAGGGTTGGGGAACCCTGCTTTAGAGTCAGGACTAGAATAAGTTTTAAATGAAACTTGACTAACTGTGAAAGAAGGAAGGGAGAGAGAAGGAAGAGCCAGTCAGCTAAACCATAAATACCATACTACAGTGACCATGGCCCAGGTATACAACCTTGGCCTTGTCTAGTGGGTCCACTCCTCAACACGTAGGACAGCTCGGTCTCCTGACTCCTTTCCATAACCTTTCTTCGCCAAATAACAAGCCAATTTCTTCCTAAAGCCCTGCATTGCTCCATACTGTCAGCAAACCCATCAAACACAAATAGTTATTAGAAATGCTGCCAATGAGCCCACCTAAGACCCAAAGGACCAGAAAATTTTTGGGGACAGAAAGGAAGCCAGATCAGGAACTGTTGATTTTATTCAGGGCAAAGATCATTCTAAAGTCAGAGTGTCTGTGCAAAATACCTGGTTTGTGAGATTTGATTTGTGAACAAAAGTAATTATTTAGAAGAAGCCTATGTTTCATGACTAGGGGAAACACTGCCACTCAAGGGGAAGCAGGAGAAACTGTGGCATGTGCCAAGCAGAAGACAAAAATAATAGATACATCGCACAGGGACAAAGGAAGGAGGACAACAAAGACCCTCTGTAGCCTCCACTAACAAATGCAGAAACTAAACTAGATATTCTTGAGGGCCAGCCTCGTGAGGGAGGGGTCACAACCATAATGTGCGCTCACAGGGAGGGGGCACCTTGGAGTCTGGGCTTCAAACATCTGATGCCTCATTGTTGCAGGGTGAGAGGCTGTCATTTACCAGGCTGAAGGGTCCTTTTGTAAAGATAATGTCACCACAAACAAAAGGAAGGCAGTAAGCAGCTCAATGGAGCAACCAGCCTGCTGAGAATAATTTGTGCCTTCAAGGTCATAAAATGGCAACCTGACAGGATATTCAGGCCGTGTGTCCCATAAACTAAAAAGGCTTGCATGCGTACACATGTATAAATGCAGTCAGAAGACATGCAGAGAGAACATTAGCTCTCTTTTACTGAAACACATTCATACATAAGCATTCCTACCCTCGAAATTAAAATAGAAAGTAGAAAAAAAAATCGTTTTTCATCAGACAGTGCCCTCAGCTCATTAAAATTTTTATAAAGATATGTTACAATTACCTTTAAGATTTCATTTCCCTTTTTTTAAAAACCTTTGAATCAATTACTTTAAAACTCGACTGGCAGCTAGCTATGGATCTAAATCATTGACAGGCAAAAATGGCACTTCCCTCGTGAGCGTGCTCCGGTGTCAGAAGGCAGCGAGGGGAGCTGCGGAGACCTGGGAGAGCCGCAGAGCTGACAAGAAGCACAGCTCCTGAGCTCAGCTTGAAACCAGTCCCTTGGAAGGCAGGTGGAACTGGACAAGGAAGCAAAACGGTGCTGGGGTTCCTAAGCTACCGCAACACTGCTGCCGGGTCCTTCCAGGCATTCAACTACTGTGGGGCGTGTGTTTTGAGGGGCAAAGGAGGGGCCTCCTGGATGAAAGATAATGAAAAGTTTCCTCTGGCATTCAAGACTTCAATGCAGGGCCGGCCAAATAGCTCAGCAGATTAAAGCACCTGCAACAACTTCTGACATTGCCAGTCCTACGGAAAACCCACTACTATTATGGACTACTGGACTATACTGGAATATTTCGCAGAATTCACACATCTACAACATTTAAATGACAATGGAATACCCTTCTCTGACAAAACTAAACAAAAAAGGGGCTAAAAATGAACGACCATTTTGTATCTGTATATTCAAAATACTTAGGATAGCTATACAGCTACTTTCTCTTAATTCAATGAGTAGAAAGATTTGTTCTAATAGTGTTTGTGGACAGGATTCATGTCTGCATCTTGTACAATGAATAACCACTAAGACAACAATATGCAATGTATTAATTATTGAAACTGTGCTAGTAATCAGTTTTGAAACTGTCTCATTTGCTATTTGTTTCTCAATAAAATTTTTTTAAAAATAAATAAATAAAAAATAAAGTGACTGCAAGCAGGCACAGGGGCCAGGGGTTCTACCCCTGGGCCTGCAGTGCCCGCCCCATCCCCAGAGGCGCTGAGACACCCACTGAGATTGGGCGTGGTGGTGCATGCTTGTAATTCCAGCTCTTGGAAGGTTGTAAACAGGTGGATCACTACAAATCTAATCTAGTAGTGAGACCCTGAACACCCTGTAGACCCTTCTCTAAAATACGAAAAAAAAAAAACTTCAATGCAAGCATGAGGTACCATTGTAACTTGACTATAGAACACTACTTCAATTTATTACTCTGTGTGTGTGTGTGTGTGTGTGTGTGTGTGTGTGTGTGTGAATTGCATGCCCTTTTTCAAGGGTTGTAATAAACTTCTCCTAAGGAGAAAGTTCTTAATACATAGAAAGAGCACATCAATATTCCATAATTTAAGGACTGTCACACTCTGACAGATCCTAAAGTGAGAGAGAAAATCCAAAACGGCATACTCTAAGTTATTCAACTGCAACTGGAAATGCATTTCCTGGTATTTTAGGCACCATTTTGGGTATCTAGATGTTCCTCGAAAGAATGACTATGTATATATTTGCTGGATGATAAAAAGTGACAAGCAAAAAAGCTTATTCTCAATCAAGCAACTAAGAACTTACACTGGCAGGGATCAGGGCTTACCTCAGTAACACAGCAAGATCCCCAGAACCGAAAGGAAACTTTTGGTTTCATGCAAGAAACATGCAAGCTAGTCAAATATTAAAAGAAGACAATTAAATTACTAAGACTATAAAAATGTCACATTAACTGAAAAGACATAAAAACAAAAAGACTAGGCCGGGCATGGGGGCGCATGCCTGGAATCCTAGCACTCAGGAGGCAGAGGCAGGAGGATCACTGCAAGTTGGAAACCAACT